AACTCTTGTCCTGCGTATCCAACCATCCGGAATGGCCTGTGATTACCTCCGGAGTTGCTCGTTTGCTGGGCTTATTAGCGTTTGGTGACGCGGACAAAATGGATGCCATTGTTCAGTTTCTTAAAGCACATCTAGTCAGACTAAAGTGAGTTTTTGTTGTTTTCACATGCCCCAACAGTCGATTCCCCAATTGGTTGCTTGACCAATTTAGGCAAGTAGCACGTGAATCACTCCAAATTGTTCGCATTCTGTTGGTCGATCAGACATCGGATATCCGAAATGAATTGGTATTTGTTATGAATATGACAGCTCGGCCTTGCTGCTTGTCATTTCAACGTGTAGTGTGTTTCGAGAACCCAAAATAGACGTGGTATAACGGTTCTCTTGCTTTGTCAAACTCTAGTAACTATACTTCTGTATTTATACTTCACTAATTGCTCACACATCTGTATTCGACGTCAAGATCCGTCAATCAGAAAAGTAGTCACCTAATCGTTCCACATCTGATGCATTTCACACCAGACCCGGTGCAGTATTGTCCGACAAGAAAGAGTCTGCACTGCTTGACTGTTGTTGCGCTCTCATGATTGCCATTCGTCGGGACACGCCGAACGGCTCCGCACTTCGACAGAAAATCGTTCACGAAGCCGGTGCACTGGAAGTCTGCTTGCAATTCTTGTGGGACACCGTACCAGCTTGTGTTATAGACCTGGATGAGGAGGCCACACTCAAGTAAGTTGATCGTCTTGAGACCGCTTGCGATTCAAATGAGAAAACTTTTTTTCAATGACAGCAACTTAGGCGCATGTAAATTCGGGTCATGTCTTTGCTGTGATCACAGTATTTCAATTTTCTTTATGCTGTCTACCCTTAATTTTAACAAATGTTAGCTACCGAATAGTGGAATTCTGGTATTTATATGTAAAAACGAATTTTTTTACAATCTAATTCATACTAGACATTTCCTGAACAATACTTACTCATCTGGTGTCATAATGCACCCAGGATGAACTCAGTTATTAGTCCGTGTTTATTACCGTTTCTGTTTTTGTCCATATCTCTTTTAGTTTCATCGGGTTTGTTGTGTCCCCGCTTTTGGTAGCCATATGAATGTTGTGATCAACGTTGGCCAGTGATAGTCATGAGACAAAGATTACGGTCACCGCTGGTGTTGTGCTCTTAGAATCTCGCGTCTGGTCCGTACCAGCGGCGCGTACATTGATGTTAAACGGTGGCTAACAAATGTTTGTTTTGATCCAACTTGGATATATCATGACAAGACAGCACATGTTTGCTACGATTCACTTTAATTTGTTTCATTTTTCCGCACTCAACTCTGTCCGTGCTTTAGCACCAGCGACCCAGAAGTCACCAAGTTCCTCGAACTTCCAATGCTACCACATGTACTTCAAGTGTTACGTGCCTCGGTGGACGGTTCCCAACCGGCTGAATGTCTCTCTCAACCAACCTCGTACCATGTGCCAAACGATCCGGATAAGCCGAGGGTAACCGCACACAGCTTGTTGCATTTCTTGCATCTGCTTGATACGAGTACATCTTCCGGTCGAGTGGGTCTACTAACTGAAGACATGCTGAATGAATGGGCCCCGAAAAATGCTGAACCCGCACACCCGGCACCTTCCTCATCAGATTCAACTGCCTCAGAGGACACGTCACCTACAGTATCACAAGTGATAGCCAAGTTGCGTGAAAGTACTGCGCAACGCACACAACGCCTGGCGCATGCAATGCGTCAAAAGAAGCTCCGCAGCATGAACATGCGTGTTGATGAAAAAGGAAAGGTATGCAAATGTTTGTCTGATATCCCAGCTTTTTTGCTATCTCCCTTTACTTCCGATCTGTTTTCTAGTAAGTCGGTGGGTTTTTAGCTCAGCCGAACTGGTGGCTAATGTAATCACTAGGATATTTTGTCCATCGCTAACTCGGTCTGACTAATGTTCTCTTTGTATGTACCAACTGTCATCGGTCATCCCGTAGGTTATGGTTATGGGTTCGGATCGCTTGGCCGAAATGACTGCCACCGTCACTGAGGAGAAGGGTCTTACTTGTGCGATATGCCACGATGGCTTCCGGAACGCTCCACAAGAAGCGATGGGCATCTACGTATTTGTACGACAGTGTCCACTGGAGGAGACCATGGTCTATGGAAATGAAACCGCCCAAGTACCGTCCACTCCATCCATATCACAAGGTTATTCAACTTTGTCCAGTTTTGTCACGGTCCACTTCTCTTGCCACACAAACGTGAGTAGTTTGATTTCCATCATTGAAATGTCTGTGTGTGTGTCACACCCCGCCATATTTTCGTTTTCACGCGATCTTAACCATCTGAACTTCTGAATAATCGCAAGGGATTAGTTAGGACAGAGAATATTCCCTTCTTTAAACGATCGTACGCTCGATAGTAGAAATTTCTCTCTTCATATCCAGTGCCGCTCAATATCAAACTTCACTTGAGGAACTTTCACAAATTGATTGCCAAATGAATGCACCGACAATGTGAACGTTTAACAGAATATCACAGAGTGTATACACGTGAGTACCAGGGTAGCACCCATAGTTTCATTGTTTCCGTATTATCAAGGATTTTATTTTAACTGGAATAAGGATAACCGATTGATTATCTTTCTTGTGTTCTGAAGTCTCTTGGTGTTACTTTCAGTCACCTTAGTCCGCACCTTTCGATACGTTGGGTAATCTCAGTTCTGGACTGATCATCATCATTGTACAGCGTAATACAGTGAAGCGAACTTCACTGATCGCCGCCAAACTCATATTGCGTACAGGGTAAGTGAGAATGTGTAAAGAGGATAGGGGATTGGACATATAGAGTACACAGTCCGACTGGACTGATGGCAATCTTTCCAATCCAATCTTTCTTCTACCCCTTGATCCAAGTGGGCAACCCAAATAGGCACACGAAAGTGCATGTTTGAACAAACTGAAACCAGTGTTATGGGGCATTCTTTGGTTTAAAACTATCCGCTTATATTTATTTATCTTCTGTTCTTGAATAGTCTAACTAATACGGTCCTAGTGGCGTCAATCGCCCCCAGCCCCCTCCGGTCGTTATCTAACCGTCACTGTTGTTACGTATTCTGTAACGCTTGGCGATTTAAGTCCTTTTTCTACGAGTGTGCGAAAAGTCTGTGATCACTCATGCCAGAAACATTAGCCTATGTGAAGATGAAATCCCTACAGTCCTTCATGTTTACCCATGTTCTTGTTTATCTAGGTATCCCCTTGGTCACATCTCATAGAGTTTGAGGTATCTCTCTTTTCGGAGTGCAGAAAAGGGTTCCCTTTTGGCTTGGTGTATGTCGGTGTTGTATGCGTACATCAATCACGCATAGAGGTGCGTTATTGGACTATAATTCGTGAAGCATTTCGACGTTCCGAGAAATGAATTCCAAATTAAAGCATATGACAGACCATATTTTGATTGGACCCAAAAGTGACCGACTGCTCAGGTTGATGAGAAAAGGGGGCATGTGTCAATCGTTCTGTCGTTCGTGTTTGTCTCCAGTTAATTAGATCAAGTTGTTATTGGAACTCGCGGGTCACGGTGGGTGAACTGGAAAATAAAACTTGCTCGCTTTACGTGGGAATGAGCCTTCTCCTATTCTAACCGATTTGTACCTGGTTCCTTGTCTATTGACTGGATCTTCTATTGAATCACAGTGTCTGAGAACGGTTATTTTTGCCTTGTTATATTAATCAAATGCAACTGAGATTTGTTTAATTCCGTCCCTATTACTTATTGTTTCACGGGTTTGTGCCCCATAGTCTCTTAAATCCTCCTCGGAGAACCGTTGGACTGTCGCTCAGCGACACAATCGTGGCGCACAATGCAACGCCATTCTACCTATCCTTAGCCCACCTTCGACATCCGGAACCGAAGCGAAGAGTAAAACAAAGAAAGATCGATCTCAATCCCCGGAAGCAGTCTATGCCGGTCATCTGGGCAGTTTCATGAACTATATCATGGTAAGCAATAGTTTTTCTGTCAACGGTTGTCACGTGCGATCGGTTTGAAGTTTTTTGGCTGCACCCTCCCACTTGAAAATTCCTCGAAATGTTTTTCAACAACTCAACCACAGGACGGGCTCTCGTGGAACACGCAAAACCACCAACTTCATTGCACATTATTGTAAGCCAGAGTAAGCGTCACTACTCTAAAAAGGATGGGGAGAATTATTGTTTTGTTCAAGTTAGCATTCGGTAGCTCACAGTCTTAGACATTATGTTGTTTCGCACAGATAGCAGTTTTGTGTTTTTGTATTCCGAAAAAGACACTCATCTCCGTGACCGAATTCGAATCCACAAATGGTTACAGTCGACGCTTTGTACGGTATACAGTATTCCAGCTGAGCTACAAATCTAATCTTCTCACAGTTAATCAACCACTGTTGGTCAAAGTCTGCGTTTTGCCTGCCAAGCGTCGAATTCCATCCTCAACGGATTCGATGTATTCAAAGTCAAAGTTTTATTATAGGCGATTTAAGAAAACTAAAGCTTATCATGCCCCATAGGATTTTTACAGAATATTTTGAATAACATCGCCATGAGAAAATAATAATAACAACAATATACTTGATCACTCACGGATGTCGAAATTTTAAGTGTTCCAATGCTTTACCAAGTTGTGATTTAAATAGCTCCACTGTAGGAGCACACACTACATCGGATGGAAGAGAATTCCATACGCCGCACACTCGGATTACAAACGGGTGATGCCGGCAATCAAGGTGACTGTTCTGGATCTTTAACTTTTGTGGATGTCCCTGAGGTGATCATTTTCAGATAAAGGTTTTTTGGGTTGATGCAGTATGTGATATGTCGAGATTAGGTCCTCCCCACCGAAGTCGGCGGTATTGAGGTAAGTAGTCCCAATATTTGCAGTCTTTCGGAGTATGTCTTGCTCTACAGACCTTTTACCAATTTTGTTGCCAGCCTTTGCGGATGTTCTAGAGCCTTATTGTAGCGGTTCAACCATGAATTCCATACTTGAAAGGTGTACTCCGTGTGTGGCTGAACGAACGCTGATAGCAAGCGTGGGAACATTGTTCTTTCGAACTGCCCGAAAACGCGTCTGAGTAGTCTAACTTGCCTTATAGTCATGGATGATGCTCTAGCACGGTGCGTGGACCATCCTACGGCCTCCTGTACCATAACTCTCAAATCACTTTTGTCAGTGGTATGCGGTTCCCCAGAACGTAGGAAAAATGAGTCTTATGCCGCCAGGAAATAACAGCATTTGGAAACGTTGAACTCGGTGTCATTGGCGATTGACCATCTGTGGGCTGCATCGATCGTTTGTTGGAGTGCTATATGATCCTCTGGATGTTTTGCAGTTCGCCAGATCTTAGCGTCGTCCGCAAATAGCAGTGTATTGGCCCAAGAACATGTGGTAGGTCGTTTATAAATGCAAGAAACATATGAGGCCCCAGTACGGATCCTTGAGGAGCCCCTCGGGCATCAGTGATAGGTTTTGATAATGAATCATCAACACGAACTGACACGGTTCTTTGTCGGAGAAACTCTTTGATCCAGTCCAGAAAGTCTACAACCGTTCCCGGATTTTCAGTATTTTCGTATTTTTGATTTGTAACGAAGTTGCTGTTAAGCCGCTACCAACAATATAACAATTACTTATGCTGGTAACCTTTGGCTAGTTATGATAAAGACGGTGTTCGGGCGCTGTAGTTTGTTCGCCTACAGCCTACATCTGTTTATTGGCAACCTAACGTTGGCCGCAGCCATCCCCCTTAATATTCATCTTACATTTGTTTTTTTATTCAATAAATGGAAGCAAAAGGATTATTATTCTTTTTTTATTTATTATGGCTAACCAATTGAAGAGCCGAAAACGATTGCATTGCACCTCCGCAACCTACGTCATAAACCAATGATTGTCTAGTGCGTTCAGTCCGTTGTTTCTCTCATCGCATGCACACACTCACGTCCCTCCTTGTCGATTAGGAAGAACAATCAAGCATGCCAACCAGATGTTTACTCAAAACAGATGCTTGTTTTCCACGTGGTCGATAAATCTGGTTCAAATCGATCTTTGTCTATGTTTCGCGTCTAAACAACCATAGAGCGGAAGAAGAGCCCCAATAATTGCTTCTCATTTTTTGTGAACCAGTAGTTGATATGTCGTAGTTTTCTCTATCTACCATACATTTGCCGATCGTTAAACAATCCCAATTCTATTGAAATGGCAGTTTAAAACATCCCTCCAACCAAATTCGTCACTTTCAACAGCGCAATTTGAATGTTAGGCCGGGCTATGCTTCCGCGCTGCAGGATGTGAAAATTTTACTCTGTCGCTTCGCCTGCAACAGACATTTTCATCAGGAAACCGGTGGCGGCGGTCGTGAAAGTAATATGCAATTATTGCCACACCTTATGCAAGTTTGTTTGCACTCTATGATCATGAGCACCTCGGTCAACAAGGAACTGGTCGAATTGGACGATTTTATGGACGTTCCGGAAACCCAGTGGGCCACAAACGAGCATTGCTGGAGCACCACAGGTCCGTTGTATCGTGCAGTGGCCGCTCTGCATCTGTGGCCGTCCGAAATGTGGCGTCAACAACGTGGAGCTGTTCTTCGCCGTTTGCTGTATCTAGGTCGCGGTCGAATAAAACAGTTGGGTAATATGAGTGCGACGGAATCAACGGGGTCTGTGTTCATGCAGTTCAAACCGTACTTCGTTTTCTTCGGTCTGATTGATGCAATTTATCATCTGCTGTTCAAAGTGAGTTCCTAATTCGTTAACATTGTTGATTCTTTAAAACACTTTGTGCTCTGTGTGTGTGAGAGAGAGATTTCTATCCCGCGTGCATCGTACATTTCCGTCTGTTTTGTGAAGGTTGTTCCCTTCTTGCCCGATGTACTCAGTTGTGCATTTTTATTGCACAAGTGAGTACGGTAAAAATGGGCAAACCCCATAATCCAAGACAAAGTCAAAAAAAACATTCAAGCTGGAACCAGCTTGTGGATTCTACTTTTTGAAGACAAGGATATTGTAAGTTCACCGGAAGACTGAAAGGGATCGGGTATTCCACACTTGTGTTGTTCTAGGGGAGAAAGGTGATTTTAAGTTGAAAATGCCAAACCTGGGGATTGTCATTTGAAATGGGTGGCTAGCCGCTTGTATGCGGGATCTACGAGGAAGAGTAAGCGAGAGAGAGAGAGAGAGAGAGAGAGAGACAAGCGGCAAGTGCACTAGAGCATAATCCAAAATAGTCTCGACGGAATGCGAATAAAGAAGCAACCATCTGGCGTTGAGCTAGTGACTGCAAGTTACTTGTTTGGGACGAATGGGCGGTGGTGGCCCGATTGTTACGTCAACAAGTTATCACCCCGGGGATGAGTGTTCAAACCCCATCACCACCGCCTGACTTCCCCTATTGTGTGTTGAATGGCAGCCCTTTGATTGGCCTTTTCCCCTTCCTGAAAATTGTATCTCCGTAAATTTAATGAAATGAAGTAAATGAACAAAATGAATATAAAAGAAAAGAGCTTACGTTCAATCCGATCGAGAAGAGACAGAGAGGTGAACGAAGCTCCACTCCACACATGATAGCAATATTCAAGTGTAAAACGAGAGGAAATGAAGAGAAAGCCGATTTCGTTCACAGCGTGAGAGGCAAGTAGATAAATATGTGGTGATCGCAATAGAAAACAGAAGAATAGTCCCAATAGGTTACCTGAATCTGTGGAGCAGAGAACGTTCGAGTTACAATTTAATGATGGCGGAAGAAATTTCCGTTTAAAAGAGATGGACATAGTAAAGGTTTTAGTGGTACTAAACAGAACAATACTGCGATTGCTCTCTGCAGAAATGTGACCAAGATCAGAATTAAGGGGATGCGCTGAGGTGGGATTGGTCGTCACTTATGCTGGAGTTACCTGTACATGAAGAGGAATAGGGCAAGGAAGAGTGTAGGATGGCATCATGGGCAAATGCGTGAATACAATTGGAAGCCGAAGAAAGGTCATGGATAAAAATCAAGAGATGTGAGGGGGAAGTACAGAACCTTCGGGGACACCATCAGTCACTCGCGCGGAACGGTACGTGGTCCCATCTACGCGAACCGAGATGCTGATGTCGTGGTTATAGCTTGCTATCCAGGACAAAAGTTTTGAGGGAAAGCTAAACTGCGCACCAGATACAACCTAAAGCTTTCAACATGTACTGCGCCACCAAATGACGTGGTTTTCGGTGCTGCTGATCGTGTATACGAAGTGAGCACCTGAAGATCACTGAGATCGGAAACCTTACTACTGGTCGCTGTGCCTTCTGTTGTGCTCTAGGTGACAGCGGAGTTAATCAGCAATGATTGGTCCCATTACCTATGGGGTAAATCTTGAGCGAGGGGAGAGATAGAGCAGAAATATGGGGGGTCAAAGTGGTCGTTGCCTTTGGAAATGGGAGATATTTCTAATGTTTTTCATGTACTTTGGAGTACTGGTAGAGAAAATAAGCAGCACAAGATTGGTGGGTTCCAAAGTGCACAGTTTGAGGACGATTTTCGGAACTCCGTCTGAACCATGTGGCCTATGTGAGTTCAGTGCTAAGAATATCTGATGTATCTTTCTGTTTGAATTTAGTGGTGTGAAAAGATGGCTTGTTTTAGGGTATACGAAGAATTGGACGGATGATTCGGGTAGGACAGCATTCGAAGCAAAATGTATATATATATAAACGTGTGTGTGTGTGTGTGCATTTGTTGGACACCCTATCTCATTCTTGTCCGCATCCTCACTTTTGTGTTACCATCCTCACAACTTTTCTGCAGCATGTAAGCCTGCCTTCAAATAGTTCTCAGCCCGGAGACTGGTGTGCAACTCTTTCGGCCTACATCGCCGCATCGGATGAGGCATTGCTGGCGGCCACTCCACAGCTCCTGTCATTTTTCCAAGACGATCTGTCGCCAATCGTGTCTGTGGACGAGTTTTTGGATGTAATGGGTAAGTGCAAGTCGTTTGCTCACTACTTGGGTCACACGTGTTAGACTGTTGCCATTTTTAAATGTTCTGTCTGGAGTCAAGGTGCGTACTGAGAAAGACACACATTGTGTCTTTTCATATATTTCCTTAATAGTTCGTTTCGGATAGCACGACATAGTTCTTCCGACCTCAAGCCCCCACCCAAGTCCACTAAGATGCATCAGCTATCTTGAGCGTTTGACAGAAACCTGGTTCGAGTATCCTGTTCATTACCTCTCAACTGCATCAGCACCACAATGTGAACATGTTGCTCCTTGTGAAAGCAAGACGTGTTCGTGAATTCAAAAAACAGCATTTATGTGAGTATTTCCCCACACCAAAATGCTCATCCAACACTCACTGGAATCTGAACATGTGTGGAATTGTTTGGCCCCACGAAATTCACGATCATAAAGTGTAACCCAGACTTAACCGATTGAAAAGTCCGGTGTCCAGCCTGTGTGCTAAACTACAGGTCACATTCGTGCGTCTATTGTTTTCGGTTGTAGCACGAAGAATCCTAACACAGGGGGAAATAGGAAGCCTGCCAATTGTTGTATCTCTCAGCTAATGTTAATTTGAAGTTTTGCATTTTATTTTTCTACCAGTTAAATAATTTGAACCGGATCAAAAATTTGGGAAAACTAGTTTTATTGGTACCCATTAGACAGAGTGGTTTTTTAATGATCCTGTTCTTATTTTAGATGCACACCAGCGTTTTTTCAATCGATGTTTTTTTCTCATCTCACTCTTGTCTTTATTTTAGATTTGTTGAATGAACTGAATGCGAACGAGTTGACCACTATTATGAATGAATCCTGAGCTGTCTATTTTTCGTATCTGAGAGCCGGAGCTTATATGTGTGTCGATGACTGATCATTACAACCTCCTCCTCGCCCTCTCCTTTCTTTAGTTTGCACAAGTTCCTGTTTGCAGTACCGACAAACTTGTCCATTCTGCATCATCTCATTTTGACCGCTGCTCATGCTTTCTGTCAAACATCAGATCTTTCTCCCGCGTCTCGCGGTCCCCATCCTGTTACTTTAACCCTCTGGTCAAAAAAACGTGTTGACCGAATTTTGTTCATTATACCCTCAGTTCTCTCTTACCACGTTGCTGTGTGTTTAAATTTGACTATGCGGTTATCCCAATTTCGTTCGTTCTCTGTGGTAATTAAAAAGGAGTGATTTTTTGGCGGATTTTTTTTTCCTGCTTTGATCAGGGTTCTGTGTTTTCGGACGCTTTTCTCATGCGCTAGTCTAGTGTGACAGGCACCAGCGAGTTTGGCGGCTTTTGTGATGAGGATTGTCATGATTAACTCTAGTTCCTCTCCATCTCATTCGGAAATGGGAAATGGTTGATGCACAACATGGGTGGTGGCGGCGCAGTGGTTTAGTCCCTGTCACTGGCGCGCTTTGGATCCTATGGTCGGAGGTTCGATCACCGCCATCCAACTTTGGTGGTAGACAGCTTTGCTGTCGTCCGGTATAATACCACGGCTAACCTAGCCTTATAAGGTTCGCCACTTCAAGTCCCGGGACTTGGGTCACCGGTTTCCATGACGGAGCAGCAGGTCTTCGTGACTATGGGGTTTTCCCCGTCTGCTATTCACCACGCAAATGTGTGCAATAAAGAAATGTGTTTGACAATGAGATACAAGAGGGGAATATTACGAACAGAGCAAAAGGTAGTTGGTGTCACTACAACTACGCAAGAAGATCCCACAGAGGCTTTTAGGCAGCTGATCGACTACTCGGAAACAGACACGCCACTACTGAACGTTTGCTACAATACCAACTGGAAGGGCAATGGATTCAAACTGATAGAGAAACATGAAATATTTGAGCCTATTTTTGCTCATGAAAACTGTTATCATCGCCAGCAGTGGCAGCTCGCAGCCTCGAGGAATTTAAACATCAGTTCTATGAATCATGAACGTGTATAGTTTCCCACGATAAATAGACTTGAAGCGCTCCTGGGTGGATTCCTGTGGGTCCATTTGGTTCTGTCTTTGACACTTGTACTTCACTCATTGACCGAGGTTAACAAAAACACGTGGTTGTCGTAAATGTTTGTTGGCGTATTGTGGTACCAGAAAGTATCGAATACGTGCCTGCACGACGAATAGGCAATGCAGCAGGCAAAAGCGTTTCACATGTATCGCGCGGGTTGGAACAGATCCCAGGTTATATTTACAGGTCCGGTCAGGTATTACAGGACGGAAAAGACTTTTGCCCACCAGGCGTCCAGATTCTTGCTTCGGTAGGAAGGTTTCGTCTCCCAAAGCCTCAAAATTGTTTCGGTCGATGTCTTGCTACTGTTTTCCGGCAGGACTTGTGCCTCGGGCCAGTATGATAGTTCAGCTTCTTGTATCTACAGATGACGCATATCCCGTAGCGCTTCGACAGTCTTTATGGGTCTTTGGTGGTGTAAGGGGACTGCCGTGGAACGCTGATGCCAATCCGGTTTGCTGTTGATGAGAGCAACACCGGCTGAACAGTCACAGGTCTGAGTACCCTGTCAATGTATCACCAGCTTCATCCAAGTGCGGCCCTAGTTGTTTTCTCCCAATGATTTGATGGACTCATGACAGTCCCTACGAATCGCAATGATTGTGCAAAACGATCGGATGATCTCAACAACCCACGGTAATGAAATAGTAGGTAGAATGTGATACCAGAACCGAACCCCGTATTTGAACGTAAAATGCAGTGCGCTGAACGACCAAGATAGAAGTGTGTGGAAGTAACGCGCGTCAACGTTCAGTACAACAAGAACGTGACAAAGCAGGGTCACTACGGAGGCTCACCCGTAGAATGACAACGGAGTTGGACTTCGACAGATTACGCCACATACCAAGCCTTATCTTCCTGGTAGCAGCCGTTTCCCTTGTCTCACCCGCCGTCCGAAGGCTTGTCGTCAAGGCCCCCAACTCCGGGTAGGGATAAGAACCTGCATTTGTAGCCTTCCGAAAAAGACCCAAGGTTGGTGTTAGTCCTGTTGCCCGAGTTTCTCCGTTTTGTGCTGACCCATGAGGCGGGGTAGTGGTGTGGTATCCCAACTGTTAGGATTTCTAAAAACGATCGACTTTTAAATGTATTTTAGAAAAAGCGATGTCGATTTCAGCCGTAATGGAACAGATTTTGCTTTTAGCTGATTCTGAGTGATTTGGCTGTTGGGATCCAAAGCGAACGAGCATCTAGTTGGGAAGACAACCAGGCCTCAGCACGATCCAAGTTTGCGGTGCTTGGAGTTCTGGTCGTTTACCATTGCGGAAGGACAGCAGAGTTGCTACGCGATTATCAGAGTCGACTGAATGCATTGTGCAGGGTATAATGTGGAGCTTTAATGTCAGAAAGCAGGTGAAATTATGCGACGCAGCGAATTTACGACCACACGATATACCTCAAACTTGGTGCTGCGTGTCAGGTGCGGTTGCATACGGTAAATTAAAAACATAACCGGGCAAAGTGAATGCTGTTCTTGAACATACAAGGTGCGTCGCTTAGAAATAGGCTTATTCTTTACAAAATGCGTACAGTCTATGTAATCATTAAATCTAACGGGTTGTCTTAGCGTGCGGCCGCTTCAATTTCTCCTGACAACGAACTTGATGGTATCACCTTGACTTTGACGCCGCGTGGTTAAATTTGGTCATGGCTAGGTTTCTGTGAATTTCCAGGAATTATTTAAGTTCGTCTGGGAATGTTCATCATATTTGTACATCCTAACTGTCGCGTTAGCTTTGTAGTGGTACTATATCGGTGTTTGGTTGCTCATTTTTACCGTTTAACTCCCATTCAAACATATTTGCATACCATCAGACTGGAATAGTTCCCCGATATTTAATGGCATTTCGAACTGCTTTGGACTAGTCTGATACGGTACTGTTAGTTCATGAAGGATATCATCATCGAGAAAAATGACACGCCAAGATACCACATGGTTATCTAAGGCCAGATAATATGCTGAGTCCGTGACTGAAGGTATACTGTGTGACATATGTCGCTTCTGGTATCATCAAGCTTGCGTTTGGCTGGGCAAAAAAGATTTCCAATTGCATACTGTTCACAAATCTCCCAGATGGATCTTTCGGCATTGCACTGCCCTCCCAGATAAATGCTCACGAATCCTCCGGGATCGTCTGAGCGGTTCTTCAACGGATAGACCAGACGCCAGAAGGAAGTCCCCTGGAAAGGCACTTTGAGGTGACGACGCTGTGGCCAGTGATGCGAGGAAGATTGTGGGAAAAGGTGAAAATCGAACCAATGAAGCCCCCGCAAATAAAGTAACGAACGGGCCGAGCGGGAAAATAATTGATGATACGTTTACAGTAGAGCTGGCAGCACCGAAAGAAAAGAGTCTGGCAACTGGAGGCAGAGATCAAGAGTGTCAAACGTCGGAGGGAAGATAGCAGACACCTGCTGCTGGACAATTGCCTCGAACCAGCCATCAGCGACTGTAAAATCAGGCAAGAGCGGGATGGTCGGCACGTAAGAGATATAAACACAATGACCGGGTTCCGCGATAGTCCCTGTCGTCAAGTTCCACCGCGTGGGACTTTGGCAAGCTGAGCAACAAGAGGCAGCCGCGGCCAATAATGACAGTGTCCCCTACCCTGTATTAGAGGAATCAACTGTTATCTAGAGCGGATACAATAAAAAAAACCGACAGCCAAATCAGCGTCTTGCCAGACAGTCCACCGCACTTAGGTTAATTTATGACGGTGAACGTCGGCTCCAATAAGAAGGTTAGAATGGAGGTCGGTGAATTGATTTTAGAAGTAGTAGTAGAGGTGAAATTACGCACAGAATCCAGGACACGAACTACGCAATAGG